ATGTTCACTTTGGTTATTCATCAAGATATGCCCTTGTGATTTCTTAATTTTTCTGGGTATCTTATACTTCAGTGAAGAAAATTAAATATTTTAAAGTTAAAATCTCTCTGAACATGTTAAACTGTTTGTAGTATGTACTTTTTTTTTTTCCCAAAAGATAGCCCAGTAGGTTTAATTTCACCAAGTTGCAACCATTATATGCTCAATGGCTTACAGATAGACAACTCATGCACAAAAATCTAACCTATGTGATACAGCAAATTACATACACACGTGACAACATCGCAGTCATTTTATCCTACAATAAACATCTTTGTTGTTTCCTGAGTAATATCATCTTTATGGCTCCAAACTTCTGTCTGAAGCCAACACTGTAATATTAATGGATAAATAGGAAATAAAGGATCATCATGGATTAAAGAAAATGTGGTGTAGACACACAATGAAATATTATCTGGCAACAAAAATAATGAAGGACTGATATATGCTATAACATGAACAAACCTTGAAAACATTATGATAGGTGACGGAAGGTAGTCACAAAATGCTATGTATTTGTAAGGATTTGACTTAAATTGAATGTCTGGTATATGTCTATTATTATCTATAATATAATATAATAATATTATATATATATAATGTAATATAATTTCTAGTAGTATGTGCTTTAAAACATTTGTCCCTCCAGGTATGGTGGCTCATGCCTATGATCCCAGCACTCTGGGAGGCAAAGGCTAGAGGATTGCCTGAACTCAGAGGTTCCAGACCAATCTGAGTAACATGGCGAGACCTTTTCTCTACAATAAATAAAAAAAATCAGCCAGGCATGGTAGCACATGCCTGTGGTTCCAGCTACTTGGAAGGATTGCCTGAGCCCAGCAGTTCAGGGTTGTGGTGGCCGTGAGCATGCCACTGCCTTCCAGCTTGGGCAACAGAATGAGATTCCGACTCAAAAGAATAAAAATAAAATAAAAATAAAACATTTGTCCAAAGACTCCTTGTTTCTTATAGTTCTTATTTTGCCTAATTTACAAAAGCTTTTCAGTGGGTACTTCTCAGGACCGTGGCAATCAATCACTTCATGTTAAATCTTCAGCTGATGACTATCATTATTATAATGTTTTTAATAAAAAGAAAACAAAATGCGCCAATATTTTGTTTTAAAAATACATATTTTTGAGAAGTTTTAAATCAAAGCAATACATGTGCATAGTTTGGAAATCAAATGCAGTGATAAGATTTATAAAATGTACACCCTCCCTCCCCACCTTTGTGCCTTACTGTCCTGATATAACCACTGTTCATTCTTCTCCATCTACCTTTTGTATCTAAATAGCATGCTTGTACTTCTATTTCTAGATTGATTACTTTTCAGCATTATATAGTGTCTTTATTATCTTCCCATTGTTTTATTATAGAAGACAAGGATTTAGTCTTCTTCTATTTCTCCATGCTTCCTCTTCTTCAATGTTTTCATAAATTGTAACTTAATTTAGTTAAATAATGATAATAATTTAAAAAGTAAATGTCATTCACAGCTGACTAACTGAGTCTAGACTTCTGGAATCACATTTCTAGAATAACTGCTTTTATTCTGGAGTTAATAATTGCCACTTCCTGCCATTGGCTTAGAATTTTATGTTTCAAGCTCCGATTCTTAACAAACTTTACACTAAAATTCTACAACTCTTTTCAATATTTACAAACACATAGATAATTTGTTTTAGTTAAGCTTTTTTCCCCCTCCCTTGGAGTCATCCTTCTGAAACTTTTCATTCTCATGCTGCAGTCTAGATTAGTTGTTCTCTGGATTCTTACCTAGCTGTTGTTCAGGGGCTTCTTTTTACCAAAAATAAAGTGAATTCTCTTTTCTCCTCTTTTATATGAGAATCCTTGTTTCCTGTTATTCATGTTATCTTTATTTACTTTGGTGAAGTTATACATCTCAGTGAAAAAGAGTGTATAGATGATTTGGTACAAATTTTGACTGTTCTAATATTCTAATATCTAATATGGATGTGGTATACAAGGGGGAACCCAAAAAGAACAAGGAATTATTTTTTGGATGAGGACCCTTTATAGTATAGACTTTGTTCCCTAGGTAAGTGTTCTAGGAACCCATCGGCACCAGTGTACCTAGCTGACATTTTAAGAGGCTGTGTTTGGCTTCAATTAGGTTTTTTTTGTTTGTCTGTTTGTTTGGGTTTTTTTTTTTTTTTTTTTGATTCTGTCAATGTGTTTTCCCATTTCATGATGGGTAATTATGAGCACACCTGCCCATACCATGATGAGTGTTCAGCAGTTTTTTACCAAAAGTGCCATGACTCCAGTGCCCTAGCCTCCCTATTCACCCCATCTCACCTCAAGTGACATTTTTTTTTGTTTTCTTGGATAAAAAAAAAATGTCCTCAAAGGAAAATGTTTTGCCAATATGGAAGACATGAAATAAAGAATGACAGAAGCACTAAGAGGCATCAAAATTGATGAGTTCAAAAACTGTTTTGAGCCGTGGAAAAGGTGTCTTGATAGGTGTATTGCATCAAACAGAGAGTACTTTGACAGTGACTGAAGCTTAAATGTGTAAGAATAAACAAAATTTTTTGTAAATAAATTCTAATATTTTGGGTTCTCTTGGTGTGTCTTTGTTAGCCTCTTTTAATTCTTCTCAGCAGTGTTTTGTAGTGTTCTGTATAGTAGTCATACAAGTCTGTTGTTAAATTTATTCCCTATTTTTTGAAATCATTATAAATAGATACTTTTACATTTTATTTTTCAGTTTGATGCTAGTGTACAAAGATAGAACTGATTTTTGTACATTGGCTTCTAACCTGTGACTTAGCTAAATTCACTTGTTAGTTGTATAGTCAATTCTTTGGGATTTTCTATTAGAATATAATGTCATCTGTGAATAGAGGCAGTTTTACCTCTTCCTTTCTGATATTCATGTCTTTTTTTTTCTTATCAAACTGGATAAGATTTTTGCCTGTATTTTCACTTTACATAGATGGCACAAAACGTATATACTCTCTGCATTTGTTTCTTTCACTTAACAGTTTGTAATATTCCATATATTGTTGTGACTAGGTATAAACTATTTCTTCTCAGTACTTTATAGTATTTCTATGTATGACTGTGCTAAAATTTATTTAGCTGTTCTGTAATGGGTGTGTGCACTTTCAGTTTAAGGTTTTTACAAATGTGCTTTCATGATTATTCTAGTACATGTCTTTTGGTGAACATATATTTTTATTTCTGTTGGGTTTATACCTCAGAGTGGAATTGATGAGTTGTAGAATATGAGGTTGTTCTTTTCCTGTTTTTTTTTTTTTACTTTATGAGTATTTACTGCTGCTATCCCTTTGTACTATTTTAATTATTTTTGAAGAGAGAAGAGATAAATTCATGTTTAATTTTCATGTTAAACCAGAAGTCAGTCATATCCTTCTCTTTCAATGTTTTGCTCCTTTCACTTGTTATTTTCATTGAGTTCCTTCATCTTCTTATCAGGACTTGAGTTGGGAAACACGTATTGACTCTCTGCCTTGCTTACCTCAAGAAGAGTCAGGTGACTTCCATCTCTTCATGGGTCCTGTCTAGCTACCCTTCTCAGAGGTGCACTCACAGGTCCTGCTTCAGGCTCCAAAAACTTGTATTCTTCTAAGGTCTTGTGCTTCTAGTTTTCCTTCTTCTAGTCTTTGCCTTTGGGTATTTAAGCAGAGGGGGCTCTTCCTACTAAAAGACTATGTAGGACATGTCTTCTTGGCAGTCATAGGTATTCCAAACAGTTAGGTGGAAAGAAATTGTCTTACCTGTCAAGTGGTGGAGCTGCTTCCTCTGTCTGCATAGCTGATCCTGTACAGAGGGAAGACTAAGGGATGAAAGATCACCCCCATAGTTTTTCCTCTTTGGTAGTAGTAGAAGGGTTTCAGGAGAAATCCTTGCTAAAACTGAGATTTAGGAATCACTGGAAGAGTTCACTTATCCCTTTGTCACCTATCAACTACTTAAAGAGTAATTGAGAAGTACTCAAAATGCAGGTATCTATCACTTTACAAAATATTCTTGAAATTTTGGTGCCCATTGGATATATTATAAATGAAATCAGAATTATAATAATAAGGGATATAAAAATGGGCCTCGTTGTTAAGTAAAGAATACTAAAATGAATTTGATCTTTATTTATTTATTTTTATTATTTTGTTAAAGCAGGATTTATTGAGAGAGCAGAAGAGCTCCCAGAACTGAAGGGGACCTGAGGGGGTTGCCCGAATTTGATCTGTAAATCTACATTCTCATATTACTCAGACACTGAAAAAATGATAAGCCAACTTTTAATTTAGGCCTTGGAGCAAGAAAACCTAAAACTTGATCCCCAAATTACTACATACCACCTAGGGGGCTCAGGCTCAGTATGTTAGCCACTCTGAACCTCAGTTTCTCATTCTATAAAATGGGCACAATAAAACCAATTTATGGGGTTGTTGTTGGGCTCAAATGAGAGTAGTCACAGTGCCAGGCATGGTACCTGTGAGATATAGCAAGACGGCAAATAATGTTCTGTTGTTGTTTTAGGAATGGTAAGGAGTTATGTTTTGTTTGATTTTTAAAAATTTATTATTGGGTAGAGAAATTAAAGAAACAGAAATAATTAAATATGTATAAGCAAAATTGATACAGAAAGGACAACTGAAAGATTTTAGCCATGACACGTTTATTTATGAGTGATATATGTTAATGAACTTAAAGTGGAGCTTTTACTCAGCGTTTAACATTTATTTGACTATTACAAAACCCAAGGCAAAAGTTTCTTTCATGACACTGGATGAAAACAATGCACTGATGACCAATCACTTTAAATATTTATAGAAATTATAGTGGAGGAAGTGAGCTAAACCGAGGAAGGAGTTCCTCTGGAGACCTCAGAGGAATGTTGCACAGCCCTGCCAGTGTCGCCTCTACCCTGAGAATGTTCAGCTAATCATGTGCTTCTGTTTCTCCAGGGAGAAGTTGGCGGTGGCCCGACTGCAGCGAGAAGTTGCCCAAAGAACTAGTGAGGGGGCCATGGTGAGTCCTGGCTGGTCTGGCCTCATTTGTACCTCCTATCCAGAAGTCTCTGGCTTGAAAGTCACTTTGTCTCAGCGAGGGTAGCTAGGGGAAATATTTGCTTGCAGCAAACTTAATGATGTTTTGGTAAAGGTTGTATTTATAATGCGATTTAGACCTCTCTGCCATCTGCCAGCAAAGAGGAAGATGAGGTATATTAATTAAAACAAATAAATGTTTGAGCATTAAGGACAATGTTCCTATGTCCAAAAGGTTACAAGGCTTTATCTCCTGAAGGTCTGTTGAGTGCCCAGGCAATGTGAGCACAGAGTCCATAAATGAGCACTTTTAGATTTTTACATGAGAGCAGTTCAGCATAAATCAACCTTCTCAATTCATGGAACTTAAAAACAACAAAAACAAACAATCTGAGAGCAATCTAATAGCACACTAAGATGTTTACTAATGTGTTTTATTCTTTTCCCCTTCCTCGCTATTTGCAGTATATTTCTCCCTGTCCTTTTTTCACTAGTACCATTTGGAAAACTGATGTTTCCTTGTGTTTTGAATTGTACTAAAAATCAATACAGTTGTTTTGGTCCATAGCAACTTCATTTTATAGACTGTCTTTGCCAAAGTATCTGCCTCTGTGCCACTATAACATCAGAGATGACTGTCTGGGGACCTGGGGAATGCATATATGTGGAGTAACTGCTCTCGCTGCCACTGAGAAGAAAATACAACACCAGGTTTTTCTCTCGACTTATGATAAAACAATGGCACATATGCAATTTTTCAGCAAAATAATTTGATTTTTAAAGATAAGTGGCTCATTTTTAGACCCTGAAAGCTGCTGCCATTTGATTTTATGAAGTTAATTGACAGTCCATCCCCTGAAAAGGGTAAGACATTTATGAATTATGTTGGCCTCACACTTCTCGCAACAGGGAAAGCAAAGGGCTGGAGAAAGAGGTTGGATGTCAAGTGGGGTCTGGAAGATACAGTGGCCCTTGAGCATGCTAAAATACTTAGGAAAGTGATCGCTCTGTATATTTTTCTAGTGATCCTAATGCAGAGAGAATTTTGAATGTTCAAATGATATAAAGCAACCACTCGCAAGCATCTTTGAACAAGGAAATGGAAACGTGTCAGAGAAAATAAATGCTTAATTGGATGGTGAACTGAATATGTCCAATCTGGACTTCTCACTGTATTTCGGAATGTTGATGGTCCGAGTCCTTCTTGTAATGTTCCAGTCTTTTGTTAGGACTAGCTCCTGTTCACCACTTCATCAGCTATGTTCTAATGGAATATGAGGAAGCGGCTTAGCTTGTCTAGAACTCAGTTTCCTCATCTTTAAAATGAGGCCATTGGAGTTTTATGATTCCATTGAGCTAGTAGATCATGCTGTTCATCTTGCTGTTGAGCCCATGTAAAGTTTTTATGAGATGGAGCTTTTGTTTTTCCTGGCAATCACTAAATATTATTTAATCTCATAAGAATAACAGGCCTTGAAATAATGAATTTTCACTTTTGGTCTGTGACATTCAATGTGCTTGAGTTGAAATGATATCAGACAGCTGTCTAGTCTTTTATAAAAATGAAACCCCCTTTTAAAACATTATAGAAGTATTTTTTCAGCATAAAAGAAATACCCAGAAAACACCAGCAAAAAGATGATCCCAATTGCTTAAAAAATGACATCGGGAAAGATACCAATATTGTATTCTCTTTTTAATAGCGGTAATGAAAAAAATAACATTTTTAAATTGACTGACTTGACAAATATTTATTGATCACCTACTGTGTGCCCAGCATTATTCTAGGCACTGGGGAAACGAAACAGGCACAATTCTGAGAGCTTACAGTTTAGCTGCTGGGGAGACAGACATTCAATGTAATTAAAATGTGAGATGGTAATGCAGCTGAGAGAAAATAAAAGATCAGCACAAGGGAGAGTGGTAGTTTGGGGGGTTTGCCATTTTAAGTGGAATATGCATAGTGGTAAATCACTGAAAAGTTAATATCTGAGCAAAGTCTGAAGGAGGTGAAGGAGTTTTTACCACGGGAATGTCTGGGAAGGGGCGTTCCAGGCAGGGAGATCAGTCAAAGCAAAGGCCTGGAGTGCTTGGGGAACTGCATGGGGGCGTGGAGCCAGCTTGAGGGGAGTGAGGCAGGAGGGTGAAGAGCAGATGGGAAACTCAGAATTGATGGGGAAAGGATATACCTTCAAGGTCCCCACGGATTTGTGGCTCATGCTCCCAGTGACGGGAACCACTGGAAGACTTCTAGAGAGGCCGTGATGTGATTGGACTTGATGCCGTTCCTATTCTTATCACCTCCCCTCCTGCTCCATGATTTATCACATCTCAATTCCTCAGAGATACCATAAGCCCTGGTTGTCATGAATTTTCTTTACATTATATTTTTTCCCTCTTTCTAAATAGTTTTTTTCTCTCTTTTCCTTAACATAGCCAAACTCCTCTGAGTTTTCTACTTAATTATATGCTTCAGCTTTCCTGCTCCTAGAATTCATTTATTTCCAAAGTCCTGATTCTTTCAGAACCTGACAGCTCCTAAAAATCAGTCATTTCTATTAATCCTTTAAATTTAATTCTTGCTGTTACAGGTTTTTTTTACAGAACTTTCGTCATGTCTGTTAGAAATGTAAAGCAGTTCATCACAACCAGGTCATCTTATATTTCTAGACTACTGTTCACAGTTTTCTATTTTTCTATCCACATGAAAAACTGGTATAGAAGAAATTATATAAGAAGTCTTTTAAAAAAAGCTGTATAATTAAATAGAGGCAGATAATTTATTTTTAAAGTCATCAATAAACTTGTTATAATCACAGTCTTCAGTGCAAAGCATACCCTCTTTAAAATTTGGTTTTATGTAACAAGTCTCTATACTTAAAACTTTTAAGACAGCACCCAAGGCACCATTTTGAGAGATTTCTTCTTTTTTTTTAAAAAATAATCTTTCATTTTGGAATAATTTAGATTTACAGAAAAGTTGCACACCTGCCTACCCTTTACCCAATATCCCTTAATGTTAACATCTTGTATCATTCTGGCGTAATTGTCAAAACTAAGAAATTAACATTGGTATGTTAGTACTAACTAAATTCCAGATTTTATTAGAATTTCACAAATTTTTCCAGTAAGTCCCTCTTCTGATCTAGAATCCAGTGCAGGGTACTACATTGCATGTAGAAATATTTCTTTTTTCTTTTTTTTTTTTTTTTTTTTGAGTTGGAGTCTCACTCTGTCACCCAGACTGGAGTGCAGTGACCGCTCCCGGCCACCGCAGCCTCGACCTGCTGGGCTCCAGCGATCCTTCCGCCTCAGCCTTCCAAGTAGCTGGAACTACAGGTGCGTGCTACCACGCCCAGCTAATTTTTTATTTTATTGTAGAGATGAGGTCTCACCAAGTTGCCCAGGCAGGTCTTTTAATGGCTAATTTTGCACATATGTGGAAGTAGAAAAAACTTGGGCGTTAAAGTGAGGCAGGCCTGGTTACAAAGCTCATCTCCATCAGTAGTTGGCTCTATTACTTTTGGCCGGTTGCTGTATTTTTGTTTTTTTTATTAATCAATATTTTTTATTTTGGTATTGTGGGGTACAGTTAAAGGTTAGGTATACAAATATGTTCCGTTCAGGCACCCTTGTTGATAAGGGGTGTCTCCCCGTCCCCAGACAGATATTTACTTCCGTTAATCCCACCTCCCTTCCTTCCCCTACCCCCCCATAGTTTCCCACCACTGTCAATCCTTTTCTTATAGTATTATGATAGATGTTCAAGGTTCACTATATGAGTGAGAACATGTGATACTCAGATCTTTGTTTCTGTGAAAGGTCACTCAGTATTATAGACTTTAGTTCCATACAGGTTGCTTCAAAATTCATGATTTTGTTCTTTTTTATGGCTGTGTAGTATTCCATCGTGTATATGTACCACATTTTTTTAATCCAGTCCTCTTTTGATGGACAGCATGGTTGATTCCAGGTTCTTGCTATTGTGAACAATGCTGCGATAAACATACGTGTTCAGGAATCTTTTTCATAGATTGATTTGAGTTCTTCAGGGTATATTCCCAGTAGGGAGATTGCGGGGTCATATGGGAGTTCGATATTTAGAGCTTTTAGGAATCCCCACACTGTTTTCCACAGAGGTTGCACTAGTTTGCACTCCCACCAACAGTGTATAAGTGTTCCCTTTTCACCACACCCTCTCCAACAACTGTTATTTTTTTAGTTATTGATAATTGCCATTCTGACTGGAGTTGGTTGGTATCTCAGTGTGGTTTTGATTTGCATCACCTTGATGATTAGTGAGGTTGGACATTTCTTCATGTGTCTGTTGGCTGCTCAGATGTCTTCCTTTGAGAAGTGTCTGTTCATATCTTTTGCCCACTTTATAACGGGGTTGTTTGTTTTTTTCTTTTCAGCACGTTTGAGTTCCTTGAGATCCAAGATGTTAAGCCTTAGGTTGCTGTATTAGTTTTTATCAATTCTGTTTGCTTTTTGGTTCTAGTAACTCAAACCTTTATTTTGGGAAACTTTCTCTCAGCATATTTTAGATTCTTTATATTTGTTTTCTTTGTCCTTAATTCTTTCTTCCAGGATACAACTATCACCATTGTTTTTCATTATTTTTCACAAATTATCTTCAAGATTATGTCTTCATTCTGGAAGATTGTTTCAGCTTATACTTCAGCTGACTCAGTTTACTGCAAGGTCTTTTCTGTCTTAAGACTTCAGTGTCATCTTAAATATTGTTAGTTGTAAAAAAGGTCCATCCTACACCAAGAGTATAAATATATTCATTCTCATTATCTTCTAGAACTTTATATAGTTTTAGAAAATATGTAAATCTTTGCAAACTTTAGGTGGAATCAATTTGGCATGAGGTAAGGATCAGAAAGATTCCCCCCAATTGATAACTATTTTTCCAATATTATTTATTGAACAATGTAACTTTTATGGTTACCTTTTCATGTTCTAAATGCCCCTATA